AGAGAGAGAGAGAGAGAGAGAGAGAGAGAGAGAGAGAGAGAGAGAGAAGAGGGAGAAGAAAGGGGGATATTTTGCTTGGCACGAAACATTGTTACTTGCGGTGTAATCCCCGCGTACGCTCATACTTTCGCAACGAGCAAACAGCGGTACAAGTACACACTTCTCGCCCCTATAAGCGGAATCGCAGAAAAACTCCCTTCAGTATCGTATTTACGAGGAGAGTAATACAGAAGTGTCCGCATTTGAAAATCGTGCACAAAGATACACTCGATCGACGAATAAAATTTTGACTTGAATTTTATATTGAGATTTTGTCTCTAATTCCCCCCACGAGGGTGGATTAACGTCGTTATGGCAGCCCTTGAGCTTCTCGCATTGCTCGCACTCCCTAGTAATTACCACACTGCAAGCAAACACGGACCCTCATTAGGATTTTCGTCGCTTTTTTCCGCTTTTAATGTAAGCCGTAAGAACGTACGATGAGCTTCTCCAGAGAAGTCGGAAAATTCGAGAGAAACAGGGACACCAAAGGGATTGTGAAGGCGCGCGCATTCTATTAATCTCGATCGCATAAGAATAAAAGAAAGCAGACCTATACACGGTGACGCGTATTTCCTGTGTGCATGCGAAAAGCATTGTGCCGGGGCGTTTAACGTCGCTTTACATAGCGTCGAGCGAGATACGTGCGGCTCGTTTACGCCTCCCTTTTCCTCCCTCTCTCTCTTTCCACTACAGCAGCAAGAATTTCACGGGACGCTTTTCACACACGCGGATATCTGTCCGCGCGATGAAATGAACGCGCGGAATGCGCTATATAAGCGTTGCGGCGCGTCGCGTCGCGTCGCGCTCGTGTCGCGTTCAAAGGAAACTGAAACTCTACGCGAAGCGATAGCAATAAAAGTACCGAGACTTTACCGACCCACCGTTGTCGTTGTCGCACAGCTCCGCCAATTTACTTTATCAGTGTCCTCTTCGCGCGAGAGAGTCGCGCGACACACAATGCCGGACTCGATCGCATTCATTTGCTCTCTGTATGCCTAATTATACGTTCCGACTGTCGTATGCAATTGCTGCGCCACTATGCGTTCGTTAAAAGACGTGTCGCTCTGAATGTAGTTCGCGTTGCTGCAGTTCGAGAGCAACGGCACAACCGTTATATCGTAACGTGACGCTTAAACACGCACTATCGTTTTCTTCTTTCTGTTTCCCTTTTTTCTCTTATTCTATAGATATTTTTCAGTTACGCTTCACCGCCTTCAAATGGCGGCGGTAACGCATCACCGAAACGTTATATTTGAAATTTAGCGTTTTTATTTTTTCAGGCAACGCGTCGATTGTGCCGATTTCAATAGTGTCCCGGGAAAATAGTCAACAATGGCTCTCTTCGGCACAGCGTATCGAAACTAGTTTCCAAAAATAACGAACAGTAGAGGGAGGCAGACGTCGTTACCTCTTCGCCGGAGTATTCTCATCAATCGCGAGTATTTTCATCTTCGTGAAATTACACTAACGATCGGGTTAACCCGAAAGTGGGCGTACGTGACCGAGATGGCAACGAAGTGCACGGCGCAATCGTTGCGCCATGCTGAGCGTCGATCGTTCGCCACTACGACATCGCCGGTATGACGTCGCAGCAACGTTACGGTCATCGATTGCGGGGACACGAGACAGGAGGAAGAGAGGTCGGGGAGGGGACGACGCGGTCCGCAATTAGCAATTAAAATCGGCGAACTCGCCGATTGATTGGACCCGCATGATACCTCCCCGGGCCAATCGACTCGCCGATCATAATTACCGGCGCTAATTACGCGATAGGCACGACCGCGATAAGCGACGCGTGATTAGCGTTCACCACGGTGAATCAATCCGGAAGCAGCGTGCATTTATTTTTTTTTCGTTATACGAGCATCTCGTAAGACTAATATTTCACTTGTCGCGTACGACGAGTTTGTTGTCAATGTGTCGATCGGTTGTTAGACAGAGTGTCCGCAGAAAGTTTCTAAAGAAGCAGAAAAGGATTCTAAAGAATGCTCTATTCGACAACTAATCAGACAATATTCGTTGTACAACAAATGAAATATTAGCAATCGTCCGCTGAAGTAACGAAGCGCACAAAGGTACAGGAAGTTCGTTTCCGCGCAGTGTGTTCGCAGTATTGAAAATTTATCTTACTAAAAATCGTGTCTGATTGCTATCGTCTATTGATGAGAAACGTCGCGTGACTTGCAACGCGATTCTGTGATTTTTGGAGAGTCCAAGTCGAAATTTTAGCTTTACTTTCGACTTGAATCTTACTTTTAATAGATATTTCTAACATTTGTATGTTCTGCAGGGTTAGTATAGGTTTAATTCACATAAAAACTGAAATCTTATTTAGTGCATCTAAATTCCAGAAAACACAAAATACCAGTTCCTAGTTTCTAAAGAGGGTCTCTCGATAAAGCTAGTATGCTAAATAAAAGAGCACCCAAGAAAAATATATCATCTTTAGATAAGGAATCCTCTTATGTATAGCCCCAAGATTTTTCTAAAATCAAAAAGAAAATACATTGTACCAAAGTACAATATTAAAGAAAAATTTCATCTTCTTTCTACAGTCCAAGTATCGTGTTCTTAATATAAATATTTTATAATAAAAAAGCAGTCTACTTCAAATAAATATATTTCTTTCAATTCAAAGAAATTACAATGATATCTAATATTAATATCTAATTCCCATTAATAGTTTCATTTTATTAAGAAAGGAATACTCTTGCGGTAAAATTTTCCACTTAGAATATATAATTATGGGAAATACTTTGCACAACTAGAGTTTTTTTCTTGGATGTTAAGATGTTTTTCTTTTAGTGTTAATCCTCTTGAGGCCATGTATAAGAGGATTCCTCTAAGAATAAAATTATATTTTCTTGAGGGTGATGAATACCTAAACGTATAGCTACCAGTAGGCATATATTTAGCTATGAAACCAATGTAACGACAACAATAGCAAAAGTTTTAGTTACAGCAGGAGATTTTTAATTATAACACACTTCCAGCAAGTCACGATTAGCTGCGACAGTGAAATATTTTCTTTTTTTTGTGAGAGTAGTGAGTTAAATGTAAAATTGAGGTCGAAAGTAGGTTGAAAATTTCGACTTGGGTGATATATATATATATCTCAGACTTGAGAACAATATATCGTGTATCGCGCGCAGAGAATAAGAAAACGAAAAGTGTTAGGAAAACTCACGTCATTCTGGGCGAAGGTCGGCGTGATCGGTCCATCGCTGGCTTCCCATTTGTCCGCGATGCGAATCGTTTCCGCTGTCTTTTGCTGCACCGACTTGGACTCGTCGAGCAGCGTCAGCTCGTAAAACTCCTGGATATCTGCAACAGAAAGAAGGGAAAGACGTATTACTATATGCGCCGGCATACTCGTGGATGAAATCTTGGCGGCTTGAGCAGTTTTTCCGAGAGATTTCGTCCCGCTTCCACCGTCCGGCTTTTCGCCGTAGCGCGCGTGCGTCATAATAAATTGACACTTTTCAATTGGATTCGATTTGCAAGCCGTCCCTGTTTCGGTATACACATCGAGAAACATCAAAGGAACATAACCGAGAAAACAATCGCTTCATATTGTGCACCGAATAATAGACCGTGTTCAATTAGGACCCCCGCTATAACAATACGGTAAACACTTGATACTGTTAACCATATGCCGGTTGACTTCGCAGTAGTCGCGACATCGCTGTATCATGAATACGTCATTGGAGTAAAGCGCGCGTTGCACGGAAGGTCAGATGAGCGACCCTTTGCTGAACTGAATGATCGACGGTCCTAATGATCGCCGCGGGTCTTGAAACGTGGACATAAAGCAGCGCGATAAGACGGTCACATAATTTTCAATATGGTTCCGAGGGAGCATTCCGCGCTGCTCGGTCGCGTAACTCGAGTGGACCCTCGAGCATCGCGCGTTGCGCCCGAATATATATCACCGACGCCGGGTACGCGTCGGGAGCAGGTCGTCCGGGTCGAAGGAGCCCGTAACTCCTTGCCAGCGCGCTCGCTCGGCACGACGTTGCGAATGGGCTGGGCTGGCTCATGACAACGCGAGCATTTGCTAAGGCGAAGCGGCGTCTAAACTGAGCATGTGCGACCATTTGAAATTTTCAAAAAGTTTATCCTTTGCGTCGTATTTCTACCGTGTTTTTGCGTATCTCAGCAAAGGAGCGGTGAAAATGTACTGAAAAGCACGAAAAATATATAGACTGATACGCAAAATTGTCTTTTTTTAATCGTTATACATGTACAAATTCGATGTATAAGTTGCAAAGCAGTTTAGACACAATGAAGTTGAAAGCTCACCAAATTATCAAAATTGTCAAAACTATCACAATTGAGTCATTTTTTATGGGCTTGCCTACAGCAATCATACTATAGATTATTATTATTATTAATTATTATTAGTCATATTATTATTTATTATTACTTAGTACTCTTAATTATTAATTATATTATTATTGTGTAAGAGTTTGTTCATAATAACTTTCAATTTTGGCAGTTGATAAGCTCCCAACTTGATTGAGTATAATTCATTTTGCAACATACTATATATAGCACATACATGAAGAAAAGAAAAAAAAGAAAAAAAAGAAAAAAGTGAGAAAAAGTATCCAAAAAATAAAACATACTTATTTTAATTAGTAACATATACATTTTAGGTACTAGTAACATATTTATTTATATTAATATATTTTTCACAAATAAGAAAGTATATATTTTCTTAAAACTTTAGTTCTTTTCATGAAAGCAATTATTTATCTTATTTAAATAAAAGAATATGAGTTTAAGTAAATATATTACTAGCAACCATCGAATAAACCTGTTTTATTTTTTAAATATTTTTCTCTCAGCCATTGTTTGAAATTTATAGTCAGAGTTGCAGTAAAAGTATAACAATGGTAAAATAATTTAGAGAATGTTACACAAACAAAACGATACCAATTTATATGAGAATCGTGTTAAGAAATATATGATGAGAGAAAAGGATAAGAAATATTTATTCCATGTATTAATAACACATTTACTCAAACTAATATAAAATATTTCTCAAATAAGAAAGTATATATTTCTTTAAAACCTCTTAGCTTTTAAAAAAACAATTGTTTGTTCTATTTAAATAAAAGAATTTGGATTTAAGTAAATGTTATTAGTACCGTGTATTATCTTTCTTGTAAATATTTTTCTTCTCAGTGTAAGGAAACCTCTTAGCTTTTTATGAAAATAATTGTTTGCCCTATTTAAATAAAGAAATTTGGATTTAAGTAAATACTAGTACCATATATTATTCATCTTGTAGATATTTTCCTCCTCAATGTAAAAAAAGATGTGATAAAGTTGCACAGGATATCCTTATAATTAAAACAATTTCATTTTGCAACACCTGAAAAAAAGACAGTAAATAAATTATTAAAAATGAAAATCTTTTATATAACAAATAGCGAACAATATACGATACATGTATGAATACCGGAGAATATACGATATGTCGCTGGCCGTGATCCGATGTCCTGTATTTCTCGGCTTTGCTTCTTGATATGCAGCATTCTAGCATTGGCCCTAACAGGCTCTTACATAAATACGATTCGATTAAAAGAAATTTCGTTTCTTCCTTCTTATTTTACTTGGACTCAGATTATTTTAATTGTCTTTTCATCCAAGGTACCGAGGTACAAATCCCAAAAAATCAGGTCCGACGTGTTCGAACACGTCTTATCATAATAGCGGTTAGGCCGGAACTCGACTAAAAGAAACGCGTACTAAATAACACAATGCCGATGAGAGCCCGATTCATCTGACGTAAACAATAACCAACGAATCGATCACGTATCCTGTAATGCGCGTCGCTCGCCAGATCGAGATAAAAACAATCAGACAAAAACACGACACACAAAGCTTATCTGTCTCGAAGTTTCGGTATATTTTGGTAGTGTTGATTGTTGACTTCTCAAACGTTCAATGGTGGAAGTATGACGCTCGCATGCTCGGCAACAAGAAGCGAGCAGTGCTACAGCAAACTTATGGAATTAAAAACTGAGTAATCGGAGCCCCGCGCGGATAGGCTGCGGCGTAGTTCACGCATGCGTACAGAGACTCGCCCGGCGCGTTAGGTCCCAAGAATTTGTACCCCTGCAGCGAGTATAGTGATTGTATAACATCATGTGCCGCCGATCGACGCGCTACCCTGCGGTATATATCGTGTATATTCTCGTCAAATTTTGGCGCCCTTGAAATATTTGCGCGGGCTGTCAATATCGTGTTCGTTAACATGCATTCTCCGATTGAATCGTATCTGTGAGTGTCAATACCACGGCGAAGCAGAACTCAGGATACTGAGACGGGAAGCAAAGACGGGGATCACGGAGAATGCCGAGACATGGGACGCCAAGGTAAAGGACGCCGGAGATTATGGCTAGCGATACATCACATATTTGTGAGTCAAATCATTATACAGATTAACAATATTAATAAACTTGACGAACATATCGAGAGGATAAAGAATTTGATACTCGCGTCGAAATTGAAGCTAGCATTCATAATCTGTTATCGTTAAACAAATCAAGCCATAGTAGTGTCAATAGTAGTGTCGTGACATCAAAGTTAATTATAGTTTAGTGAATCTGATTACTGATGAATCTCTGTAGTTGCACTCGCTTTATACAACAAGATATTGATTCTAATAATGAGCTATAAATACAAATCTAAAGTGAATCATGCTCTCAATAAAATGTATATAAAAATCTTCAAATCTAGTACAATGAATAATTTATGCCTCTAATAATGCTTTTGAACAACATGTCTTACCTTATTGGCATCTGTTAACATTTCTCTTCTGTTTAAGAAATTATTATTATTATATTAAATTCAGATTATTGTTATTATATTGAATCCAGATTTAAATCTATTAGTATACAGATATATTACAGGAAGTATTAATCCAAACAGCTGGATAACGAGCAGTAAATACAAATCTAAAAGTAATTGTGTTCTCAAAAAAAAGATTGTACATAATTTACAATTGTGAAAAGATAGTCTTAGAATCTAGTATACTAGTTTCATAACAGTGACTTGTACATCTTTTAATATTTGTTGGACAGCACGCTTCGGTTTATTGGCATCCGTTAATATTTATTTTTCCTTGCTATTTCATAGATTATTGTTATTGTACTGTAGTATTGTTATTGTATTGTAGTAGTACATAGAAATATTACTAGTACTATAAATTATAATATTACTAGTAATATAAATAGTACAGGAAATATTAATTCTAACAGTTAAATAATAACTTATGAATTCAAGTTTAGAGTTAATTATGTTTCCAATCAACATTTTAAAATAATTTACAATTGTGAGTGCCAGCTTTAGTATTATTGATGCTATATTAATAATATGATATATAATATATATTATATATGTATATAATATGATAATAATATGATATGTATATTGCAGATGACAATTCTTATAAGACATGGAAATTCCAAAAAGAAGAAAAGAAAGAAGCTGCAAGGACAAAGACAGAACTGTTTGTATACAATAATGAGCCATAAATATAAAAAATCCAGAATGAATCATGCTCTCAATAAAAGTTATTGAGATGTAACAGTTTTCTCTGATGTTCTTGTAGTGTATAGTTGTATTCATAAGTTATTATCAACTGTTTGAATTAATATTTCCTGTAATATTTCAACTCGGGTTGATTCTTTGATACAGACTATCAACCATAAAACGCGCGCGCGACGATCCACGTGTATAAATATGAAAAGAATTTGCTCTACAAGTTCATATATATGATATCATCAATAGCCTGGTTTACATTGTGCACTTGATATATATACTAAATAGTAACTTTTTATTAAATAATCTTAATATTGACAATGTATATCAACGACGACGTATTCAATCGATACGTGTTGAGGAATATTATACCAGCTTAATATATCGTTGTTTATATCGTCGATATTAAGATTATTTAATAGAAAGTTACTATTTAGTACGCGTATCAAGTGCACGATGTAAACCAGGCTAATATGATGATACATATATAATATATTAACATATTATATGTTAACATGATATATATGATGATACATATGATAGTAACATCAAGTTTTCATTTGTAACATTAAGATAGGACAATGGTTTATAAAATATTATTGTTATAAATTTTACGTTAATTCTCCAAGTTCGGAAGAATTTGAAGGATTAATGTAAAACCAAAATTTCGACTCTTTGATACAGAACGATTGATTGTCAACCGTATAATGCGCGCGCGACGATATATCCACGTATATAAATATGAACAGAATTTGCTTTATAAATTCATA